TGTTTTGAGAAACGATGTACAAAGGCGCTTTACACAATTGATGTGTGTATGGATTGGGATGACAGTTGTATGAGCCCCTAATAAAATGTTAAAAACAAAATCTGTGCAGTTTTATCCGTGAATACATGCATTGTTTTTCACCTTTTATAAACAATCATCCCTGCAATGCTAGCAGGGGGCTCTGGCTTGTGGTGCTTCACTGACAGAAGAAGCTACAGGGTAGAGAGGAGGACCTACTGGCTGACTTTCTCAGACTATTCTTTGGAAGCAGTCGGGCTTTGCCTGATCATTCGGGAGTCATATGTCCAATTAGCCGGGCAGATTTCTCCATGTGACTTCCCACACTGGAAGGCCTTCAGCAGGCGGCAAGTCTCTTCCATGCTCCAGCTTACTGAGAGGTTCTTGTCACTCAAGTGCTTGATGATTCCATTGAAGTCGACGATGATGAGACCCTCTCAGGGTCAGGCCGGCATCTTCGGATAGCACACCCGCCTTAGTGGAGGGAAATCTGCTTGGTTAAATTGGTCAGGAGCAGGGCATTCGTATTGTCCAGATCCCTGTTCTCCCTTGAGTTCATGATCCAGATGAGATGGCTAAAGTAGGAATCCACCAAAACAGCAACAACTTCACAATTCAATTCCGGAAATGCGTCGGTTTTGTCACCAAAAGCAACGATTTTTGTGGCACACCAAATGGCGAAGCCCAAAGGGTAGAAGAAACTATTTCCTCTTAAAGTCATCAAGGTTCAACTCTGTGAACACTCCACTGACGATGACTGTGCCCCTAAAATAGAGGGCGTGCTGGGAGATGACAGGGAGGAGGTTATATGTAGATCCTTGTAATCATTTCCCCCTTTCCACCCCACTATCCCTCCACCCACCCAGTATTGTCACTCTTAGCTCTGGTCCTGAAGGGATCATCTGTCCTGGATTCCCTGTGTTTCCAGTTCCTATCTGTATCAGTGTACATCCTCTGGTCTAGCCATATTTGTAAGATAGAATTGGGATCATGATATTGGTGGTGGGGGGGGGAGCATTTAGGAACTAGAGGAAAGTTGTATGTTTCATCATTGCTACACTG